AGTCCCAGCACCCACATGGCAGCTACGGACGGTCCTTAACTCCAGTTTCAGGGGATCCAAAGCCTCTTCTGACCTCCAGTGGCACTGCCCGACACGGGTTTTCACATTCATGGAGGCATAACAGTCATACACATAAAATAAAAATATTAAAAAAAAAAAGTCAGGTGTTGTGGCACATGCCTTTAATCCCAGCATTCAGGACACAGAGGTGGGAAGATCTTTGTGAGATGGAAGCCAGCCTGATCTACATAGCATAGCGAGTTTTGAGACCCTGTCTCAAAAAAAAAACAATAACAAAAGCCAGGTCTGGTGGTGCAGGCTTATAATCTCAGTGACTTGCGAGGCTGAAGCAGGAAGATCACAATTTGAAGGCCTGCCTGGGCTACAAGGTAGAGTTCTTGCATAGTATGTATGGGGCTCCAAATTCAATCCCCAGTATTCTACCCCCTCCCAAATCTGACTCAAAACTAAAACTCATCTAAGCAGTAGATTCTGCAAAGTCTGTTAACCTTCCAGTTTAAATTAAATGATCTTCTTAGAGGGAAATAATAATCCCACCATCATAGCGATTTGATGAGTGAAAGCAAAACCACTCAAAGGGAAAGTGCAAGCACAGTGTGGTGGCACACTGCTTGTAATCCCAGCACTTGGGTGACTAAGGCAAGAGAACTGCCACAAGTTTGAGAAAATAAATAAATGGAAACTACATTTAAGAAAAGGTAATGATGCTTTTAGAGGAAAAAAACTGGGCGTGGGTTGCAGGTGGATGTCTACGAGACTGAAGTCATCCTAGTTCACATCATGACTTCCAGGTGGGCTATGACCTAGGGAGACCCTATCAAAAAGCAATCAAAAACACAAAAAGCAAGGAAAATCAATTTGCATACTGGAAAGCAAGCATACTAAGTACCTTATGTTCACTTGACCTTTACTAGGAGTTCAAGTTCCTGTTTGCACAGAAGTGACATGAATGTGCTTGTAAACCTAAGCTTCTCAGTTTTTTTTCCAATTTAACCTGGAGAGAACTAAAGAGCTTCAAAATCCAAGGCTAGACTTGCCCCAACACATCTCTGTTCTTTCTTGGCCTTCTTCCTGTTTCTTTTCTACACTCACTGGACTCTTCTAAAAATTTTCAAAGTACATTTGGGGGGGGGGGCATACAGTAATAGAAAAGCTGAATAGAAAGAAAGAGAAAAGCCAAGGTATAGCCTCTATAAGACAGCCCAATGGGTAAAAGCACCTGCTGCTGAGCCTGACAACCTGAGTTTGATCCCCAGCACCCACATGGTAGGAGAGAACCTACTCCCACTGTCCTCTGATCTCCACATACACAGCAGAGCACACAGATATACCCGAGAGAGAGAGAGAGAGAGAGAGAGAGAGAGAGAGAGAGAGACTGACTTTGAGGCCAGATGGGGCTATACAGTTGAGACACTCTCAAATAAAAATAAATTTCAGCTAAAAAATAGATGAAATAAAAAGTGGTTGGGATTGCATGCCAATGGCAATAACAGGCCAGGGAAATGTTTGCTGTGGGTGCTTGCCATTGTGTTTGAAGATCTCTATTATTGGGATACTAAGACCCTTAGTGTGGCTTCAGGCTACTTAGCTGTTGGAGGCTTCTTGGAAATAGGGATCCCAGATAAATATTTAAAGCTCTATTTTATAACTTCTCTAAAAGAAAATTTTCTAATGCTTTCCATCTTTCTGTGGGCCTTGTATGCGGGGTTTCCTTCCCAGCCTTTCTTTTTAAATTTTTATTTTTATTTTGTGTGCATGGGTACATATATGTGTAGGGGCACAGGTGTTAGTCCTCACCTTCCACCACAGCTTTCCCCTTGTTTGAAACAGGGTCTCTTTGGGGTTCTCGTTTGTCAGGCAAGCTTCCAGGTATCTCCTGTCTTCACCCATCTTGCCATAGGAGGTCTGGATTATATATGCATACCACTGAACTGTGCACAGCAAGCACTGTTACCGATGGAGTAATCTGTTTTTTTATCCAGAGTTATCTGCCCAATCTCCCCCTCCTCAGCCCCTCAGCCTTTCTGGGCTAATGCCTACTGTTTTTAGGAGTCCTTCAAGACTGCTTTTAGGAGCTGGAGAGATAGTTCAGTGGTTAAGAACACTGACTATTCTTGCAGAAGACCTGAGTTTGAATCCCAGCACCCACATAGCAGCTAACGCCTGTAACTCCAGTTCCAGGGGATCCAACAGCCTCTTCTGCCCTCCGAAGGCACTGCACGACCTGGGTACACTTACATGCATTCAGGCAACACACGAATACACATTAAAAAATAAAAATACAAATATTTTTTAAAAGACTGCCTTTAGGTACCATTTTCTCTTAGCCAGAGTTCTCATCTGTCCGTCAAATTTCTTAGCAGACAAGTTCTAGAAACAATCATAGCCTTGTTGCAACAAGCACATTAGCACCCATATTTGGTTCCTAATACCATTTTCCAAGGATAAGAACCAGGGGATTATTGGAGAAATTGTGATTCCATAATGGATAGCGAATATGAAAGATAACCTGGAGCATCTTAAGCCAGAAAGCACGTTCTAAAAACAGCAAAACTGGGAGTGTGACAAAGGGATACAGAAGCCATCCATACGAAAGCTCCCAAATTGCAAAACTGGAACAATTTGAACAAAATAAGTACCTGAAATATAAGGAATATCTGGAGTCTGTACTGATATGTCTGAATAACTGAATGGAGAAAAAGAGAACTCTGTGTAGAATTCCAAATAATTCATTTAGTCTCCACCCTCCAGGACACGTGTGGAGCATGACCCTACTCCTTCAGTGTGGGCTGTGTTAGTTGGGAGCCTTCCCAAAAGACTGAATTTCTGAAAGGGTTTATCTTCTTGGGGCTATGTTGTTCTCATGCATGTTTCATGTCTGTTTCTTCTGTTCTTCACCAGTTACCCAAGCACAAAACTGGGATCCGTATTTCTAAGAAGCCTCCAACAGCTAAGTAGCCTGAAGCCACACTAAGGGTCTTAGTATTACAGTAATAAAGATCTTCAAACACAATGGCAGCACCCACAGCAAACATTTCCCTGGCCTGTTATTACCACTGGCATGCAATCCCAACCACTTTTTATTTCATCTTTTTAGCCAAAATTTATTTGAGACTGTCTGAACTGTGTAGCCCCAGCTGACTTGGAACTATGGCCTCAAACTCATAGCCACCAGCCTCTGACTCCAAGTGCTGGGATTAAAGGTGTGTGTCATCACACCCAGTACCAAAATTTGATCTTTTAACAGGTTTTTAACATTTGAACTTTTGGATGCAATACCAGTACTTAACCTCAGAAAAAGCAGAATTAGGCCTTGTGGAGAAGGCCTATAATTTCAGCTTCTCTGGAGGCAAAGGCAGAAGGATCCAAGTTCACCGCCTGTCAAAGCTAACTGGGGTAACTTAGAAAGGCCCTGTCTCAAAACGAAAAATCTGAAGACATAGCTCTTGCCGTTGAGCATTTGCCTAGCATGGTTCAATCCCTAGTAACCCGGACTTTAATGCTTTTTAGTGTCAAGAACACACACCCACGTTATCTGAAAAATACAATTATAGGCTGAAGAGATGGTTCAGTGGTTAAGAGCACTGGCTATTCTCACAGAGGACCCAGGTTCGATTCCCAACACTCACATGGTGGCTAACAACTGTCCAAAACTCCCGACCATCTGACGCCCTCTTCTGACCACCATGGGCATTGCACGACACGGTACATTTGCAGGCAATATACTCACACACATATATATATATATATAATCTTCCTCTTTTCTTTCATCTCAAAGCCTATTAGAGGATGTGTGAAGGTTAACTGTAAAGATGAAGTTGCTGGATATGCTACTTTTTCTGAATCAAAGAAGCTCTCAGGCAAAATGGGGACTGACTTAAAAGAAATGAAAAGAAAAAATGCTAATTGCATACATTTTCTAGAGGTAAAATTGGTTAAAGTGTTCATTACAGGGGTTAGGCATCCTGGTGCTGGCTGGCCCATACTTAGAATCTGAGCCCTGGGAAGGTTGAGTGAGGCAGAAGGGCAAGTTCCAGCCCATTGTGGGCTGCCTACAGAGCCTCTATCTGGACCAGCTCCCTTCTCCCCTCAAAAGTGAACAGTACAAAGTAGATGATGCATCCTAGACTTCCGATTCAATTTCACAAGAAATAGAACTTCTGACGCTGTCTCTGTTGTTCCAGTTATGGCTACAGCGCCTTCTCCTGCGGCTTCGACTAACAAATCACTCAACTCTGCTAATCCTTCGGTCCAGGCTGAAGAATATTTTATCTGGCTGATTTTGAAAATACACGTGCTCGAGCACGCGGGCTAGGGAGCGTGCTAAGCGAGACTCGGGTCTGAGTCAAGCCCTACACATCCTGCCTCCGGACGCCCGAGTTTCGGCACTCCGCTCCCCGCCTTGGCCGGGGGCGAACGACGCCGCGGCCTTCTCGGTGCGGAGGGAGAGCGCGGTGGACACCGCTCTCCAGGGGACTGCAGGCTATGGCGGGGCGACGTCCACCCTGCGTCCCAGCAAGCGTACGGGAGCGTTCGTTCCCCTCCGCACCAAGGCGGCCTGAAGCCCCCTAGTCCTCGGCCCCCGCGCAAGCGACGCCGGGAAATGCCCACATCCGGGAAACCCGCGACTGAGTGCGGCGGCGGCGACGGGGAGCGGAAGGCAAAATGGCGGCGGCGGCGGCCTGCTGCTGAGGGGAGAGCCAGGTCCCCGCGACCCTCACGACGGGCCGCGCTGGCCGGCCGCAGCCCCTCCCCCCGGCGTGTGCCCCCGTCCTGCCCCATCCCGAGCCCCGAAGGACCGCTGGGGCCCCGGGGACGGGCTCCAGCCGCTGCGGCGCCGGCCCTCGGGTCCGTGGCCGCTGTCCAGGAGCCCCGCTCTCCCCTGCAGGTGAGTCCAGAGCCGGCGCCGCGGGTGGGGCGCCCTGACCTCCGCAGCCCGAGTCCGCGGGGCGGTGGCCGGCGGGGCCCACGCCCATGCCCGCTGGAGGGGGTCCAGGGGCCGGCAGTGGACCGGCGGGCTGAGCCGGCCGGGTCCGGGCCTGACTGGGCAGATTGCGCTGGCCTGAGCTGAGCCCTGCCCGGGGGAAGCGAGGGTTGGCCGCACCCGGCGCCGCAGGAAGAGCCCGGGGCGCTGCGGCCTCTGCGGGGGCTCGGTGGGAAGGGAAGAGCCGGGCTGGCCGCCCGCGAGGACCGTCTCTCCCCTACCCCACCCCTTCCAGGTCTGGAGAGGAGAGGAGCGAAAGCTAGTTTTCCAAGGAGAGTGCATCTAACTAGTCACTGCACTTTGCTGGCCCCCGGTTTGTGTGTTCCTAGAAGCGGTCCTTGGAATCTCTCTGTTCAGCCCGCCGAAATGTTTCAACGGTCACTGCTCACAGTGCAGGTGGTAGGAGAGATGTGGGTGTCTTTATGGACTAGGAGAGTGTGGATAAATAGGAAAATGAAGGAAAGACAGAGGAATATTGCTTATTATCACTTGAAAAATAGTTTGTAGCACGAAGAGCGGCTCTCAGGTGACTTTATTAACTCTTCTCTGACTTCTCCAATTGAAACCATTTTCCAAGGGAACGAAGTTTAAGTGTTTGACGACATGTAAACATGTGTATCATCTAGAAGTTGTAAGTACGAGGATTGAGTAGTAAGTATAGTCTCGCACACAATATGTTATCTCTTCAGTTTTGGAAATCGGTGTTGAATGCCTGGAATCCTTGTCAGACCTTTATGCAATATTTATTGAAGGTTAATTTTTTTTTTTTTTTTTTGAAAAATCAGTCTTTCCCCATGAAGAAGAAAAGGTAGGAATTAGGGTCCTCTGCTAAGATATCTTCTCTTTTTATGGTCTTAACTAAGGTGTTCTCTTACGTTTAAAGATGGGCAGGTAAAATGGTCTGGATGATTCCCTATGGCAGTGGGAGGAATATCTTTGTGTTCCTGTGATAGCATATTATTGCAAGAAACTACTAGATCATGGTACATACTTCCAAAGGCACATTCTTTCATGCCTGATTACTGATTGAATATGCCTTTGTGCTCTTCAAAATAATTTAAACAAGTGCTTCTCCTACGCTTTATGTGAATAGGTTTCAGACTTTAATTCTAGAGTTTAAGTTTTTGCTTTTAATGCTAGTCTTTGTTATTCTGTACGCATATAATCTTGGAATAGTTCCTACTCTAGTTATTTAAGTATCATTTAGGTACGACATTTATATTAGAAGATTTGCACGCCACAAAAGTTATTTCATCATTGTATATAATATTATCTGTAGAAACTACCATTTTTCAGTATGAATATAAAAACGTGATTATTCTCAATTTCTGGTACTGATATTTGAATGTTGGGCCTTACAGATGCTAAGTGACGCCTCCCCACCCTTCCTGCTTTTCTTTCTCTTTGAAACAGGAGACAGGATCTCACTAACTTAGCCAGGTTTTACGTTCATCCACTGTTTTTTGTTTTGTTTTGTTTTTTTCCTTTTTCTTTCTGAGTTAGGATCTCTTGTAATCCAGGCTGGCCTGGGATTACAGGTATATACCACTAAATTCAGTTTTATGTGGTGCTGGGAATCTAACTGTAGGCTTTGTGCATGCCAGACAAGACCTTTATCAACTGAGCAATACCCCCAGACTGTTTGTACTTTTGATCAGTTAATTCTTAGAAAATAAATTGACAAAATTTTCAATGGCTAGAGATATCCTGAACAATTTAAGACTATCCTGCTAAGAAACCAGTACATACTGTCATTCACAGAGTTTTTAGACAGATCATCTTTTTATAAACTTAATCCAACCCAAGGTAACACTTTGAAATCTCACTGTGTATTGTATTGATACCAGTTTTTTTTACCTGATAGACAAGAAAATGTACTTTTGAAGAAGGTCCAATCTTTTTTTTTAAATCAAAGTTTTGTTTCTTCAATCTAAAGCAATTTAAATGTCCCTTCAAAGCATGAGCGAACATGATCTCTGCCCTTAGGAAGCTTAAAATACAGGTGTGATGAAGAGAGGCCTGGGCTAGCTTAGTATATGTAAAGTCATCCTAGCATTACCTCCAGTGACTAGATGTCCTTATGTAAGCTACTTCTCTGGATCTAGTCCCTTGTCTATAAAAATAATAATAGTTGGGAGGCAGAGGCAGGCGGATCTCTGTGAGTTCAAGGCCAGCCTGGTCTACATTAGTGAGTTCCAGGACAGCTGGGGCTACAGGGACATCCTGCTTTGAAAAGACCAAAAAATAAATAAATAAATAATAATAGCAATATTCTAAAGGCACCATATACTTGGGGGCTGGAGAGATGACTCAGTGGTTAAGAACACTGTTCTTGTAGAAGACCCGAGTTCGAATCCCAGCACCCACCTGGCAGCTAACAACTGTCTGTAACTCCAGTCCCAGGGGATCGATCCAACAGCCTCTTTTGACCTCTGCGGGTATTGCACAATACAGGTACACTTAGCTACATACAGGCAATACACGCATACACATAAATAAAATAAAAAGACACCATATACTCTATAAATTGGTGATCTAAGAAATATAAGAATATTTTCAGCACTCCTGAGATGGGGACAGGAGGATTAGGTCATCCTTGGCTACACAGCAAATCCCAGGCAAGCCTGGGTTATAAGAGATCCTTACTCAAAAAGAAAAAAGACAGTGGATGAATGTAAAGGCAAAAACAGAAATTTTTTCTGAATAGTACAAAATGCTTTTTGTGTTCAGAGAAGAACAGTTCGATGAGAATTTCTGTTCGAGGAGGTATTTGAATGAATGAAGCCTTGAAGTTGAGTATGGTTTCTACAAGAAAGCAAAGGCTCTCTCAAGAAGAATAAATAGGGGCTGGAGAGATGGCTCAGCAGTTTTCTTGCAGAAGAACTGGGTTCAGTTCCCAGCACCCACATGGCAGCTAACAGCCACCTGTAACTCCAGTTCCAGGGGTTCTCATACCCTCCATTGGCCACCATAGGCATTGCACACGTTCAGGCAAAACACTCAAACACTTAAAAACAAAGAAATAAGTTGGTTTTTAAAGAAGAATAAGGTTGGGTGTGGTGATCCATGCCTCTAATCCCAGCACTCAGGCGGCAGAGGCAGGTGGATCTTTGTGAGATCCAGTCCAGCCTGGTCTACATAGCAAGTTTCAGGCCAGCAGGGGTTACAGAGAGACCATTTCTCAAAACATGAAACAAAACAACAAAGGGGAATCAATAGAAAGAAGGAGGACATTAAAGCAGAGAAGCACAGGGTCTAGCTGAGAGCCCATACCTTGGCTTGGTTAGAATGCAGGGCACAAATATGGGGCCTAGATGAGATGTGCAAGACCCCCCATTTTCAGGACCCCTCCCTGCCACAGGGCACTGGTCCTCTATTTCTCAGCATAACTTTGTTTGCCCTTCAAAAAGAAGAGGGGAGTCAGGTTCTTGTTGCAACATGTATTGAACTTAATGTTCACAGCAACTCTATAAGATAGAACCTGGTGGTACACACCTCTAACTTCAGCACTCTGGAAGCAGAGGCAGCCAGATCTCTTGAGTTCAAGGCCAGCCTGACCTACACAATGAGACCCTGTATATTAAATAATAATAATTAAAAAAAAGACAGAGAATTGTGTCTGGGCAGTGTGTTTCCAGAGCTCTAGTTACTACTGTTCAAAGAGTCCTTGAAGGAAGGCATCATTAAAGGTTGTGGAATAGGGAAGTAAAATGATAGGGACTGTTCATTAGAAAGACTAATCTGGCACCATTGTACCAGGAGCTAAGGAGGTAAGCTGTTTTGCCTTAAAGACCTCTTTATAAAAGTCTTTTAACTTATTTGTCTATTATTAATTTTAGTTTTCACATGTCACAATAATAAAGTATTAAAATGATATTGATAATGTTGGCCATACTTTGTTGAAGGAATTGTAAATTAGTATACTGTTCTGAAATGTAATCTGACAGTAAGTATCAGAATTTAATTCGTTTATTTTGTGGTATTAGAGATCAAACCTGGGATCTTGGGTAGCTTAGGCAAATGCTCTAACACTGAGGTATATCCCAGCCCATTATCCTTATTTTACTTATTTTTGTATTTTTTTTAAAGATTTATTTTTTAATTCTACGTATGTGTCTGATACGGGTATGTGTATGCAAATACAGTGCCCTTAGAGGGTTTTGCATCTCCTGGAGCTGGCTCAGCCAGTATTTGCAATCTCTCTCTCTCTCTCTCTCTCTCTCTCTCTCTCTCTCTCTCTCTCTCTCTCAGGATACGCAACCGCTCTCCTTTATGAGAAGATATGAAGAATGTCATTGGTATCTTTATAGCTATTACAATGAATCTATAGTTCACTTTAGGTGGCACGGACATTTTAGAATGTGGATTCTTCCATAACCTCTCCCTCTCCCTCTCCCTCTCCCTCTCCCCCCCTCAAGCTGGCCTTCAATTTACTATGTAGCTAAGAAGAATGACCTTGAAATTCTGATTACAGGTGTGTGCTACCATACTTGATTTATGGGTTGTAAGGGATTGAAGCCAGAGTTTTGTATGAGATAGACAAGCACTCTACCAACTAAACAATATCCCCAGCCCTGTTTTTTTGTTTGTTTGTTTTTGAGACTGTCTCTCATATTCCAGGCTGGCCTCAAATTCCCTTCATAACCAAGGATGACCTTGAACTTCTAATCCTCTTTTGTACAGAGATTACTGGCATATGTGCCACCATACCCAGTTTTATGTAATGCTAGGGAGAGAGCCTAGGGCTTCATGCATTCTACAAGCTGAGCTACATCCTCATCTCTGTTTATATTTGAGCTAGGTTCTCTGTAGCCCAGGCTGGCCTGGAATTCAGAAGATGGTATAAACATAAGGCATATAGCTGGGCATGGTTGCCCATACCTCTAATGCCTTTGATTCCAGTG